ACATAGAAAGCCCCTCTCGCAAGCGAGAGCAGCCGAATGCGCGAGATGATCCCCTCTGGCCGCGCAGGATCACTTCCACGGAGTAGTACTAACACTGTATCGGTCGACGACTGGCGGTCCACTGCAAAGTAGCTTCATCGAGCTGTACCGTCCCGCTGTCATTATTTTATCAACGCAGACTTCACTCACGCGGAAGTAAGTACGGGAAAGGGAAAACACCGCGTTGAGAAGACCGTTATATCTTAGATGAACGCACCATGCTTCCCTTCTGATCGGGATTAGTTGCGAGCCTCGAGGCTGATGATCTCGACAACCGGGATCATCGGCTTGCCGTGTGAACATGTGAACGGGCAAGCCCTCGCCATTGTCGAACGGACCGGTGGAGCCTCGTCGGTCAAGTCGGTATGGTTTCAACCTGCGTGACAGAAGACCACTTCCGCTTAACGGTATGGAAACCCCATGATTAACCACACGAGAGGTTATAGCAGTGAACGAAACCCAGCTCGCTGGCCAGAAGTACGGTATATCCGCGGCTTGGCACACGGACGTAACCAAAGCTACAGCCGGGCGAGGCACACGGCCTCCTCATCGTCATTAAATAAAAGCCAGCGCGCATCGTTTCGAGCCATTCACCGTCCTCACTTCCCACTGACCGGTTCAGTCGTCGCGCACCTTCCTTCCTTTCGACCGCTTGACGCGTCTATTCACTCTTTCGACCCTTTCAACTTCTTCGCCTGCGCACGCACCTGACGCCTGAGCCGTCCACACTTGGCACAACTTTCGAACGACACCCGTAAAACCAGTCAAGATCAAAATGCTCTTCTCGTTCTTCCTCATGCTCTCTGCCCTCTTCCTCTCCGTCCTCGCGGCCCCTCTCAACACGCGCCAGGAGACCGTTTCCAACGTCAAGTGCACTAGTGGCTCGTGAGTACCCAGCCATCGCTATCTGGAGAAGCACCTCTCACGTATTTCCATCTCCATCAGCGCTCTTGACTTCCACACCGTGAATGTTGCGCAGCTCCAAATCTGCGGCGGCATTGCGGGCACGATCCAGAAGTGCCAGGGTGCACCGACTTCGACGACGGGCGTATCCAACAACGTGCAGTTCAGCATCAACCCGGTGCAGAAGGGTGCGACTATCAACATCTCCAAGGGTCGCTGGGAGCGTGCGTGGGCCTATTTGCTGCAGACCGAATCTATTCTGACATGCGCATTCATCAGAGGGCATCAAGGCTGCGTTCGCGGTCTGCGGTCAGGACCAGCCTTTCACGGCAACGTTTACGGGCGGCGCCAGCACTGGCGACGTCAACGTCGAGCTCAAGGCGATCTGAGCATGAGCGGCGGGGTCTTTCATTATTTCCTGTCAGGGCAGTCGAGCGAATGTTTGTACGGCTTTGCTAGGGTGTTTTCCGATATATGCATTGTGTTCATTGGGAATATGTCATGAGAAACAAAGCCAAGCGCCAGCGCCACTTGCGGCCCGAGAGCATGCGCAGACGAACGTGTCTAGCGCCAGGAAGAGTGAGAAGCCGTAACTCGCCAGCGTTCGGACCTCTAACATGCAAGTCGTTACACCGCCGATCCCAGGATGATCAGGGCAAGGGCTGCGGGTACGATAGGCAATTCAGGCCATTGTGTGAAGCGATGTACATTCTTTGGTCATGCTCGGGCTAGAGTGACGAGATGGTGGTGGAAAGCAAGCCGCGCGCCTGCGAAGTGACGGCGTGTGTCGGCGATCGAAGTACAAAACTAGAGATATATACCCCGCGCTCGCTTACCACAGACCACCATCCTGCACCATGCCCTTCCCCACAGTAACGTGCGTAAGAGCCTTGGCTATCCGACGCGGGCCATCGCGTGCTCATCGAATGCTCAGTACGCCGGTGACGCCCACTCCCGTCCGACCCCGCTCCGTGAGCGGTCCGTCTTCGTCGCGGATGGACGCACTCTCCGCTTTGAAGAACATCGAGCCGAACCTGATCATTGATGGTACATATGGCTCCTGTACACCAAGGGACTTGCGAGCTTATATACGATCTTGTTCTAGCGGCACCCACACCCATGGCCAAGAAGCTGAGCTCGGTCGAAAAGTCGAAGCGCCTAGCAGCTTACACCGCCGTTGACAAGCACATCCTACCTGAACACAAGGTGACCATGAATCAGCCCATCTCTTATACGGTGGCTAATAACCTGGTTGTACAGTACATCGGCATCGGATCAGGTGCGCTGAGCTATAGACAGCCCGTGCCAGCCATCGTTTGAATTCAACCGTCCAGGATCAACTGTACCCTACGTTGTCGAGCGCATCGTGTCTCAAGGACATGATTTGAACAAAACCCGTGTCTTCATCCCCACTGGTTAGTAGTCTCTAGGTGGTATTCGCAAGGCCCTTACGTCGTACAGGCTTCCAGTCGAAGGAACTCATCGTCAAGGCTGGGTTGAGGTTGGGAGACGTCGACCAGTATCCGACCCTTGATGTGACTATCGACGGTGCAGACGAGTGCGTTTTATGGACTCTCAGCCTGTAGAGGTCCACCTCTCATGTTCTGTTCCAGAGTTGATTCCGACCTGAACTGCATCAAGGGTGGAGGGGCCTGCCATCTGCGCGAGAAGGTACTGGCGGAGGCCGCGATTACCTGGGTTGTCGTCGCGGACTACCGCAAGAACTCGAAGATTCTCGGCACTACCGTACGTATCCATCCCATGCGGCACATTCCGACTCTTGAGCTTACATGTGCGACTACAGTACAAGGTCGGTGTTCCAGTCGAGGTTGCACCTTTCGCGTACGCAAAGCTGCTCGAGAACTTGCACACACTGGGCTCGCCTACCGCACAACTCCGCATGGCCACGCACAAAGCTGGCCCTATCGTGACGGACAACGGTAACTTCGTCATCGACGCCCCCTTCCCGCCCGAGTACATGAAGGAGCCATTGGAGGTGAGCGTGGTGCCACAACTCGTTTCGACTTTGCGCTCATTGGCTACTCAAATAGCTCCTCACTCGCATCAAGATGTTGACAGGTGTGGTCGAGGTCGGTCTGTTCTGTCACATGGCGCGGGCCGCCTACTTCGGTAACGAGGTATGCCTCTCATGACTCTCGTACTGGTCCGAATGCTAACAAGGATCTCGTGCAGGACGAGAGCGTCACCGTGCGCTGGAATGACGGCAAGGTCGAGCAAGTCGCGAGGGTCCCAGATACGCCCGCCCATGAACTCAATGGCATGCATATCAACGGCAACGGCAATGGAAACATTCACGGTTCTGCTATCGCTGAAGAGGACTAGATTCCCTGGCATCATCTGTGAGTTGATTCGCCTTCCTATCAGCCGTATTCGCTCTGACGACTCGTTATAGGTATCATATCAGACAATGTACTCTCTATACCGCCTCCTACGAGTGGTTGTATGTCATAATATGAAGCTGTATACCTCTATGTCATCGTTATGTCGCCACTTTATGACCCTAATGCAGTCTTGTCACCTTATGCAGTGACCGACTCAGTCCTTGTTCCTGCAATCCGACGACTGCACCTGCCGCATCAGCTGACGACGTACCTCCCAGGTACCTCTACTCATGCTCTGTGTTCCTTGGCACTCCTCCTGAACGGCGACAACGTGAGGTGTTCGCCGGCGTAGAATGCTCACCTGTGCTTGGCCGCATGATGTGCGGCTTCTGGCGGGCCGACATCACTCCGGCGACGCAATGTGGCGAGCGCGTACATAACTCGCGACGTTGAAGCTGGAAATGCCTTGGGTCCTGTCCAATGGCGCGCGCCCTTGCTCTGACGGTCCTCGCCGCATCACTGTCGACCGCTGTCGCTGTCCCGCGGTCTCCCTGGTATTCGTCGTGGCCAAATAAGGGCCACTCGGCTGACACGAACGACGGCATTCATCTCGCCATCAAGCCTAGCTGCGGCGCCTTCGGTGGGAACTTCACGAACGTGAATGCCGGTCTCAAAACGTCGGCTGTGAAGACTTTCGTTGTATTCGGAGTACGCAAGGATCAAGCCTTCCCACTGAGACGTTCGCTCACGTTGCGCGTCTTCTACAGGACTCGTATACCGACGGCGGAGCCCACGATGGCGGCCCGCTCCCGGCGGCTATTGTACCTGCGAACTCTACACGGGCCGGCGGTCGTGTCACGAACGGCCCGGTCTGGGTTGAGTGGGTGGCGAATGCTACCAAGGCCACACTTATGGACTATGCGGTATGGCGCGACGGAGGTCATTGACAGCAAGGAAACTCCTGACTAGGTCTGATTCAGATATCTGGGGCTGTGGTCAACCATACTCTGTGGCCGAGCAAGTCCACACAGTCGGACCTGATGGAGCAGAGTAGGAAACTTGTCCGCTCACTACGCTCTGATGCTCATTTCGACATACTTGTTAGCCGACCTATTCCTCAGTCAGAATCATGAGCTCAACCCCGACTCGACGGTCTACGTCTCGTTCTTTGGCATCAAGTGCGTTGACATACCCCGTCTCACCAGTACCCGCCATACTCACGAGAAGCAGTGACTACTCTGCATCAAAGAGTACGTTCATGCCATCTTTACAACTACACGCAGCTCATGCTGTCTCCAGCTGACGGTGATAATCTGCCCACCGCGGCTGCTCAGCTGCTTGCCCGCCTCGAAGTGCTGGCGTCGCCACCGACCAACGCGAAGAAGTTCCTCATCCTCGACGACTACGGTCGCGGAACACACGCCGCTACGGGCGACGCCTTCAAGCAGGCTGTCTTCGATGGCGCTGCAAACTTCAGCAAGAATGGAGCGAAGGTCGCGTTCGTCGACTTCGCGCCACTATGGGACGCAGTGTTCGGAACGGACCCGGGATACGAAGCCTTCGGGTACACCAGCGACGATAGTTGCTTTGACTCGACCAGCCCAGTTGGTACGGAGGGAGAGTGCGCTGACCCGGCGCATACGTTCTATTGGCTTCACGGGTACGTATTCAGCCACCGCTTTCACCTGCTCTCGCTAATGGGAGCATGTCCAGCCATCCTTCGAAGGAGACACACAAGATCATGGGCGACTACGTGCTTGATGTACTGAACGGGTGCTGATTCTCTATCGTTTACGCAAGCGTTGTAGTGCGCATGAATATGGGTGCACATCAGTGCCATGACGAGGCAAACGGTTATGCGGGTCTAAGCTAGTGATACAGATGGAGGTATAGCAGTGTTCTTTATCGATTCCCGAAAGGCCTCATGCCGCCGCTGCGATACCGTTGGCATGGTGAATTAAGCCGTTGAGCTTCTTCTGGGCGATGTCGGATGGAGCGGACGAGGGAGGGAGTGTTGGCGCGATGCTGTCGACCTTGCCATCGTTCCACCTAATACTGACGCTGCCATCCTGCGGAGTACTGGTAAGCACCCGCGCAGAGCAGACATCAGGGATGAATACGTACCTCGTTTCCGAAGTACGCCGCCTTCGCCATATGGCAGAAGAGTCCGACTTCCACGACGCCGGTCAACATCTTGATGCGCGTCAACAGCATGAGCGGGTTCCTCAACTGCTCCTCAGAGAACGGTGCGTCGATGACGAAGTTGCCGTTATCAGTGACAATGGGTCCAGCCTTCTGCGATGCCATGCGTAGTGCGGCTGTTGGTGAGCCGAGCTGGTGCAAGTTGTCCAGCAACTTCGCGTAAGCGAACGGCGCGACTTCTACTGGTACACCTTTCTTGTACTGCGAAGGGCCCTCAGTTCAGACGTAGCGCTACGGCTTGGGGATGACGTACGTTTGTTCCAAGGACTTGCGAGTTCTTGCGGTAGTCGGCGACGATGATCCATGTCATGGCGGCTTCTGCAAGGACCTTCTCGCGCAAGTGGCAGGCTCCTCCGCCCTTGATACAGTTCAGATCTGAGTCAACTCTACATTGCGGTCGGCACTGGTGAAGTAGATTGACTAGAGAGGGGCACGCACTCGTCTGCGCCGTCAATCGTCACGTCGAGAGATGGGTACTGGTCGACATCGCCAAGTTGCAGATGCGCTTTGACGATGAGCTCCTTTGATTGAAAGCCTGCGTGCAGCAAGATCAGACTAGGATCTAGCATATACACATGCTTACGCACCAGTAGGGATGAAAACGCGATCCCTGTTCACGTCCGGACCTTGCGCGACGATACGTTCGACGACGTACGGAACGGTTGATCCTAGAATCAAAGCACGTCAACACCCTGATTCGGCAGAGAAAGGATCTGCAGAAGCAGAGAAGCCGCCCGTACCTGACCCGATACCGATGTACTGAGATCTCATCAGTATAGATGTCGCGGAAGTGAATGGGAAGAGCACGACGCACTTTGTGTTCGGGCAAGACATGCTTGTCGACGGCGGTGTAGGCTGCGAGGCGCTTCGACTCTTCGATCGCGCTGAGCTTGGCGACGGCGGGCTTGACCGTCTCTGTGATGCAAAGGTCAGCACTGGTTGCGCTCACATATCGGATGTCTGCGAGACGCGCCTGGGGTGATATGTGTGAGCTGGCGGAGAGTGGCGACCATGGCAGGCGTAGTAGGGTTGTTGCCGACGGATTTGGGACGAATGGGAGCCGGTGTCACCCTGGTCCTATATAACTTTCGGTGTCAACCCCGTACGTTCTGAAACCATGAGGGGGACCACTCGGACGACGGAACGAGAACGTTTCTACCGCCCTGCGCGGTCAAAACGAACCCGCACCCCACTCCGAGCGAAGGGATCAGCGCAGACGGAGTTTACATACTTGTCGTCCGGCACTGTTGGGAACGGCATCGCTGCTTTGCTCAGGAGAAAGACTGTGCGTCGGTGAAGATGAGAGTGCGGGGCAAATTGGCCTCGGCCAGCTGCTAGCTTTAGCGCAGTCGTAACTGGCATCGTCACGAGTAGCATAGACAAGGTACAATATTCTCCGTCCGAGACGCCGAGCGGTCCGAGCCAGGGCGCGGCTGTTTACTTTGCCCCCGGGCCCGCGCCTCAGGAACTTCCGGAAACGTCAGGACTTCGCCGCGGCCGCGTATGTTTTTTCTGGGGGATGCGGTGACGTTACACCTGTACGGGTTTTGTGTATACCATGCCGTGTGGCACCAACATCAACCAGCGGATCGGCATTGGAGGTGGAGGAGGTTCAACGTACATCGACATCGTTCAGCGTCAAGGGTACCGGTGTTATCCGTTTATGAATGATAGAACAGATACGCGACATCGTATCACAGAGCATAACATAACAAAGGCGAATGACATCACGATACATGAGAGAAACCAGTGCGAAGAGGTAATGTTCATAAACAAGCGGTGATGAGGGTCGTGAAGGGATCGTGAATAGGTACAGCCGGCGTTCACCCAATAGACGCGCTATACTCCGGACATCGCCTCAGAGCGACTATGTGAATATCGAAGGTGGTTAGGAGCGCCTTCGCCTTATGCCCAAGGATTATCATCGTCTGGTGGCGGCGGACTAAACGTGGGGCTGACAATCGCATGCGCCGGCGGCGTCTGCGCTCTCGCAACAGGTGCATCGGTCCTCAATATCCCAACACCTCCTCCAGCCATCTCAGGCGCAACATGCTGGTCGAGCGCATCTTCCGACTCGGCCATTTGATGAGCTATCTCTTCGAGATCATTGCGCGAAGCGCCGGCGGCGTGTACATTCTCCTCGCCAACCTCCTCGACCTGTTCAGGTTGCTCGTGCGGGAGGTAGTGTCTGCGGTAGACTTTGCGTAGACCGGACCCGCGTACGGCTGGTTCGCCTCTCCGCCGTTCCTGCGCCATCTCCTCTTCGGCTAACCCATCGTCCTCCACGACAAGATCAACGGCATCAGAGCGCGGCGACCCATTTATTGGCGAGCGCGCAAGCGCACGTGGCGGCGCTTGACTGGGCGAAGAGCGAGGCGTTGAGCCATATGAGTGGGTACGGCTCGCGGGAAGGCGTGGGGGGTGGTCGCGCTTGGGCGAAGGTGCTGCGGAGCCTGGTCGCGAACCCGGCGGCGTCAGCTTCGCGACCTTATTCCAGCGCAACTTGACATCGTTGGGGTCCCCACTCTGCATCCTCTCCGCCTCCATATCAATGACCCTCTCCTTGACCTGCGGCGATCCTCTCCCACTACTTCCCGATCCCGACCCGCTCGCCTGTCCTGCTCCTACGCGAGAGGAAGTTGCAACGGCACCGTACCCTTCTCTCTGTCCCCCTAGAGCCCGTGAAGTCTTTCTCCGGCCTTTGAAGTCCGAGTCCCACGCTGAGCGCTCGTCGCGCAGTATAGCCTCTTCAGCGTCCCACATCGTTCTGCGTGCCGTTTCCGAGCTGACATCGACGCATGGATACAGGTAGTCACCGAAGAGATACTGCTTGCTCTGCTCAAACAACGCTTCATCCTCCGCGCTTGGATCGCCGAAAGGAATCTCGTAGCCGACGGTCGACGGGAGGGTATGCGTCTCATCGTGCAGGACATCTTGAGCTTCGCCACTGAGGAGTGGGGCGTGGACTTCATCGTAGTCATCCGTGCCGAATGCGCGTTCCACCGTGCGCTCAGCGCGTCCGGGTCGGGTGTCTGTGGCCGGTTGAGGGAGCCAATACTTCCCGCGCCCGCCTTTCGAGTATCGCAAACCGGCCTTGATTCGCCGTTCGCGTCCCAGGCCCTGATGAATGAACCCCTCCGTAGGTTCAAACTCCCTGTAGTCCATCCCTTCTCCCCTGACCGTACTCTTTAGATCCTCCATGACATCCTTGTGACCGAACGCGTCCTTGATAGCATAGCGGATTGGCATCCTCCCAACGAAGGTAATGTCCTTGTCAATGTAGTCCTGCTCCGAGAACGCGTACATGTGCGCGATGGCGAAGAAGGGCATCTCGATGCAGATAAGCATGTCGGTCAGTCCGAGCGATATGTGTTCGCTGTCGGTGTAGGGACCCAATTTGGCGATGAAGCCAGCGGCGACGAGGATGGAAATGAAGATGGATTGCCAGAACGAGAAGAAAAGGATGCCTTTGACGCAGAGGAACTTGGGCATGGGCCTAGGAGACCGTCAGCGTCGTTCATGGTTTGATTAGGGCGGCGGACATACCGGAAGGGCTTCAAATCCTCGCTGATAGATAGCCAGAACATCGCCAAGCAGTACAGGCTCAGACAGATGCTGGCGTTGTACACGATGCTGACATAAAGGTAGCCGGAGTCGAATCGCAAGTCGCCCTCATTGTACTTCCCGACCCCCTTCAAGATCAGAGACGCCAGCGCCAAACAAGGTTTGATATATACATATTCTGCGAGAGGACATCAGACTACCGAATGGAGAGTAACACGGGTGACGCACGCATGATTCCTCGTTTGAGGAACAGGAAGGTGTAAGGATCGCTGACGTCTAGCTCCGGTTGGAATATGTTCATGGGCGCTGGCGGGTACTTGGGCGCGCGGCCGTGCACAAGGATCAGGAGGGAGCGTTCGCCGCCTAGGTAATTGAGCAGCAGGTTGAAGAAGCAGTAGATGACGAATGCCTAATACGACGCATCAGTACTGCACGCTTCATTGATGATGGCATGCAACGCACCTCGTATATGTCCCGCAGTGCGTCGATGACGAATGCTGCCTCTAGCGAGAAGAGGGAGATAAGGGAAGAAATGGCGTAAATGGGGACCATGACCATGATTCGGATGACCATCCTATGAGAGCGTGTCAGTTTGACCCACTCAGAATATGGCTTCGTTATGCAAGGACTAGTCCGAACTTCAAGAATGCACCTTGGTGCTTCTTGAGCGAGACGAGCGCGCATGGCATCAACTTTGGCGGGGGATTCACCCTCGCCCTCTCGAAGACAAGGTTTCACGTGGAAATATTCATAGCACAATGTATACACACCTTTGGAGTGTAGGCTTGCGGTAGTTCTTGAGGTGAAGGAATATGGACCAAGCGGATACGATGGTTGCAACGGCTGTGGCTGAGCCGGCCAATATGAGGAGTACCGGGCCGAGATGGTTGCCCGAGCCACCGCCAGCCATCGGTTCAATGACTTCCTGGTATGTCGAAGCCATATTATAGATACGAATAGTCGTTATAGGTCACTGGCGCAGAGTGGAGGCGCCGTTGTCCCAGGGTTCGAATTGCCGCGCGAGGTCGTCAGGTGCGTGAAACGAAACTTGAAGTAGCGCGTTTCGAGACAGCACCAGGAGGTGCAGTACCTCAAGTAAGAAGTCCGTAGATAGATATAAGATATCTATAAGTCTGATGGTGGTAGAGACCAAGCTGCGAGCACTTCCCCGCAGGACTCAGCCGCAGCGGCGCACGCGATCACCTGAGTTTAGACGCGCGTACGCAGTCATAGAGCCACGAACGCGTCATCGACGCAGCGCCCGCGCCGAATCGGTACCGGCTGTGCCGCAGACTAGTTCCAACGATAACATTCACTTCCATTGTATCCTATCTATGCTACAGCAACACAAGATCTTCTATCCTCATGACACTATTTCGACGGCACGAAGCTCACAAGCGCGTACTTTCCATTCACCCTCCACCCTGTCTCATCCGCGTCCAACTTGTCCGCAATCTCTTTCTTCACTCCCACAACCACATCTGCCTTGTTTGTTCTCAAACTCAGCAACGGAAATGCTCCGGCTAGCGGGCCAATGGCTTCTTCGAATGGCGTAGACGAGGGCCAGGCTACGTCACCGGTGAGCTTGCGGTAGCTGAAAGATGGCGTGGCCCCTCGTCAGAATATGAACCGAGGAGACGTGGAAGGTAGACATACTTTAGATCGCCCTTGAAGATGGCAAGCCCAGTGCCCTTCATATGCTCGTACAGTGCGGGCGCCAATTCTTTCATGTTCCAGTACGGCCACGGACTTGTCCAGAAGTCGAACACTGGGTCGGAGAACCCCAACGGTGATGTATATGGCACGGAGAACTTGAATGTCCCGTCGGCAATGTACGATTGCCAGCGCAGGACCATCGTGCGAAGGTGCTGTTGGGAAGGCGAAGGATCCGTTGGAGGGAAGAAGTCCGGCGACAGGAGAGCTGATGGTGTTGCGGCGAAGTCTGGCGGGGTCACATCTGAGACGAACCAAGGGATCGCTTTGCCGCTGAAATATTGTCAGTGAGATGTCCTTGTACGGTTGGGGAGACGCTTACTGGAATACGACACTCGATGCGTATGGCGTATAGGTGACCAAGAAGTCCGCAAAAACGAGATCGGTGAAGAGCTCAAAGCCAGCTAGAAAGCGGTCACCAGTGAAGAAGCGCCAAAATGCGGATAGAGATTGCGCGCGTACCGTTGTCCAAAACAAAGTCGATGCGAGCGTCTTTCAATTCCTTGATGTGAGCCCACACGGCGTCCTGATCGTCCTTGAGAATGAACTCCTTCTGTGCCGCTTGAGCTTCCTTCCCGACAGCTTGGAGTTTCTGGATATCGTCATGCGACATGTGTGTCAGAAGCGAGAGGTCCTACGGGACTATCATCAGCATGTACGAGGCCTCAGCGTTGCGAAGCCCCGTTACAGTTGCATTGCCCCTGCGCGTCGAATAAAGGTCAGCGGACTTTCAAGGCGTGCGTACGGATAAGCGCCATACCATAAGCACATCTGGACCATCTCCCGGAAGATGACCTCAAGCTTGTCCGGATCAGACTCGAGCACATCCTTCTCCGCTTCGAGCTCATGCATGGTAGTCGCAAGCTCTATATATCTTCAGCATCAGCCTTAGTCCGATTCATCCCGCCTGAATCAAGCTCACTATAGATAGCCGTTCCGCTCGCCTGAAACGTGCCCTCCTTCTGTGCACGGAAGGGGTCGTAGTCCTTCCAGTACTTCGTAGACGTAAAGTACGAGCGCAAGAGTCGGTACAGGTAGCACTCCGCGTAAAGCCACGGCGCAGTGAACCATGTGCCTTTCCCTTCCGCCTTGAGCCTCTCGAGCTCCTCGTTGTACGTCTCGACCATGGCTTCGCCATCCTCCGGAATCGCTCTGATCATCCTTAGCATCCTATCTTATCAGTACCAGAGTGTGAACATACGGCAACTCCCGATCCCTTCCCATCTCATACTTCAACTTGCTCAGTGCCTCGATGATCCTCTTCCCCTCGGCTTCACGCTCATGGAAATCTTGGGAAGGCTCATCGCCCGCTTCGAGGGCCGACGCGTGATTGTCCCGGAAGACACCGTCGAGAACTTGGGTGAGGATGATAGGCCAGCGTTCGGCTACCGTCTTAAACCTGTAGTCCCCGCGCATCAACACGGAAACAGAATGGAGAGAATACGGTTCACGGACGAGAAGCTGTAGGCAGTACGGCGGCAGTTGAGCAGATGATAGGTGCAGTGGGCAAGATCGGGTTACCCATTCTTGTCAGTGGGATCATATGGCGGGTAAGGTGCGGTAAACATTGCTCTGGGATCCTTAGTGGTGGCCGGAGAAAGCGAGATACCCGGATGTCGAGCGCCGCCGCCGACGATAGGCTTACCCCGCTTGACGCGGTCACGTTAGTTGCAACAGCAACCCTTGACCCGACGCGTCATCGGAGCTGCTGAGCAGCGCAAGAAGGTCCATCGCTCAGAGTCGGTACATGACTCTGATACTGTAGCGCCGTGGAGCTACGGATCGCCGTCGATAAATGTCACCGTCGTAAGCGGACCCTTTCGTGGCGACTGGCGCGCCGGGACAAACATAGTCACAAATTACTCTAGTCATCATGCAAGCACATCATGCAACCACGTCATGATCTACATCCATACAAATATTACTCTAGAAGGTGCACGAGCCAGTATCACGCGTAATCCATGAACCCCTGCAACTTTCTTGCCGTCCTCGTCGGGAACTTGAACGCGCCGAGCTTCCCTCCAAACGTCTTTACAATCCTGACCACGCCCATCTTCAGTGCGTCGACAAGCACAGCCAGAACATCTCCGGCCCTTTCCCTCTCTTCATCAGGTGCACTGCTCGCGTTGAGCTCGAGCTGATAGTCTTCGAGTGCTTGTAGGAATGAAAGCATTGACTCGAGGATCTTGGGGATGTCGCGTTGTACGACGCCATATTTGTCCTCCGTCAAGCTCGCGCAGACAAGATGTGAGAGCACTGTATATCCCAGTATCAGTCAATCTGTGCGGTGTAATACAGTGTCCAGTACTTACCATCGACGATCAGCGCGTCCAACTCCCGGTTCGGTAACAAACTCTCAGCGACCTTCCCCACCCTCTCGCCCGCCCACCACATCTTCAGACCACTCGAGGCCGCCCTGACAGGCTTGGGAAGCATCTCCGCCACACGTCCTGATAGACTCTTCCCTGTTGTTACGGCCTTGGCTTGCACGACAGCATCCTCGACCTTCTTTTCGATTTCCACTACAGGCGCTGGCACGGGTACGGAGACGGAATGTGTGAACACACTCGCTGACGTCTCGACTGCTTGTGACAGTGTGCCGTCTGATGCCAACGCGTCGATTGCGCTTCGGACTGGTGTGCCGGACGTAGATGTTGCGAATACGGGCGCACGTTGTGCGGGTGTTGAAGGCGGTTCAGGTGCTTTACTCTTGGGCGCGGGTGTACTCGTTGATGTTGCTGGTGCGAGAGCAGGTTTACCGCGCAGAAGCATTCGTTGGTAGTCGTGTCCGAGGAATATTAATGCATCTCGAACGAGGGTCGCCCACAGAGTTGGCGAATGTTTTTGGTCACCGAAGAGTGCTGTTCGGCGTTCACTAGCCACTGGCGCGTCGTCTGAAGCAAAGTCCCGGAGCTCGCGGTAAGCGAAATACTTGAAGTACGGATCCGGGGAGGTCGAGCCGGATACGAGCGTGAGAGCCTGGTCTGCAGTAGAAGGTGCGAGTGTCACTGGCTGGACGAGTAGGTTAGTGTGGTGGAGGTAAAGGGCTTGGAACATGACATACGAGGCGGACTTTCTCGTCGAACAGCGTCTCCGTGAAATCCCAGAGACTAACGAGGCTCACGCCTAGGAGGAACGTCCTGCTCATGATCGCCATATTCTTGAAGTTGAGCATGAGGAAAGGCATCCATGCGCCGCGAATGAAGTGGGCGCAGAACGGACGGAGCAGGGAGCTCAGGAAGGGGAAGGTGAGCACGATTGGCAGCAGGATTGCGCGAGCAATGATGAACGCGAAGGTGTATATCGTTTGTACCGAGAGGACGAGGAAGATTGTCGGGAAAGCCACGAAGAAGAGGCGCTGGGTCCAACGTGAAGCGGGTGAGTGGGGGGAAGTCGCTTTCCAGCGAACGATTGATCGATCGAGAAGGGTGCCCCGGATGTGGTACGCAGCAGCAAAGGTGAACTGGGCCAGAACGAGGTAGATGAAGCGCCCGTTGAGGTAGTAAGGGTGTTTCCTGTTCTGGGTTTAGCACGTGTGGCGAATTATGCTGAATGCGGGTGTACCTTGACTTCACGAAGACGTTTAGGCGTAGATCGTCGCCAAAGGATGCGAAACGGGATATTGACAGTTGGATGACGACGAAGGATAGACAGGTCGTCAGGTGGGCCAGGAGAGCCGAGCGCACGGAGGGTTTTGCGTATGCGGTCTTGAGGATTTGAGCGGGCGAAGATGCGGGAGTGGGCGAGGCTATACTTGGATCAGGGTCAAGCTTCAGGCAGTTCTCTGAGTTGCACTCACCAGACACATCCGACTTCCTTAGCACGAGAATGGGCAGGACATTGAATATCCATATCAACGAAGCGGCGAGGATCGTCCCCGGCCTGAACGCCCACTTGACCATCCCAAACCACCCGACGCTCCCCTCGTGCGACACATTCCACACCACCCAAGCAGTTGCGACTATCCAAGTATACGCGATGGTGTAAGGGTAGATCTCGCGCCGTAGACGGTGGCTCAGCACATTGCGCGCCAGAGGAATATATGTTTCTGTCGCTGGCGGGACTGGTGGGAGGGAACGTGCGAAGAGGTTCGAGGTTATTGCGCGGACTGGCGCGTCTGAGCGGGGTGCGGCCATAGTGGCGGCCGGAGTCAAGGAAAGAAATACAGGCAGGCGCGTACTTGACTTTGCACCGCCAACACGCGTGAACAAACTCAACCACGCGACGCGCGCTTGACCTTGACGCGCGCCTCGACGCGTCGCGTGCTCTTTCCCGACGACCATCACGGTCGATACTCTGACGCGAATTTGGGCAGTTCCTATCTCGTACACCCGTGCTCACGAATCTTTTGGCACATTGACTCTGCAAAATCCCTTGCGTAAGTCTTGAGGATGTGGAACGCGCTTCTCCTGCGACCCCGAGGGGCATGACCTGCATGCGGTGCCCACGCGTCGAGGACCTGTATTTGCCATGTTTGGCTATGAGCGCTTCATGTCTCGCTACGCCTGCCTTTTGCAAATATGATCCTGTACGATACGCGGATTCCGATATGATGCTGCAATGGCTCCTCACCAGAGTTCGCATATGGTGCCAGGGCCCTGTATAGCCCATGTCATGTTAGACCCTGCGCTCATTCTACTTCAGTGCTTCACGAACCACTCGCTGAGATACTGGCTTTATAGATCTTATTTACGATACAGTTTATCGGGAACACCAAGTTGAATCCCACCGAACTCGACCACCTTGAGCGACCGGCATGTCGTCCAAAGGCAGGCCACGATCACCTGCGGGCCGCAAGATAGCCTATGCCAAGCGACAGACTGCAGTAGTTCGGCACTCACGACGACCGACGCTTATGTCTGCGCTGGCTCTCATAGTGTTTGGACTCTTCTACATTCGCAGCCAGCGTAAAGCTGTTCCTTTCAAAGATCCGCCCAGCAAAGCCGTGGACTACGTCAACCCGTGAGCCCTCTCATTTTGGCTACGCGAAGGACTGAGGCTGACTTCTTCTGTGTAGGCTGATCGGCAACGGTGGTGACACGCCCAACACGTCGGGAGGGATGATCCCCTCGACGGCACCGCCCTTCGGCATGACCCGCTGGACAGCGCAAACGAGAGAGAACTACGTCTCTATGACACCCTACAACGTCTCCGACACGCACATACACGGCTTTCAGGGAACTCACCAGCCTGCGATATGGATGGGCGAGAGTGGGCAGGTCGTCGTCGTCCCTGGTTCGGGAAAGGTGAAGGCGAAGTTCGATGACAGAGGGATGAAGTTTGAGAGGGCGAGTGAGATCAGGACCCCGAGTTATTATCGGGTGGAGATGGATGCGGTCGATGGCGGGCAGATCATTGCCGAACAGAGCGCAAGTACAGTCTGCCTTGCTGTGCGCTATATTCCGTTATACTAATTCGCTGCACAGCCTCGCGCGTTGGGCACCTACGCTTCACCTTCCAAGGCACTGCGACGCCGTATGTCCTTCTGGAAGTGACCCGCGAATCAGTAGTCGCGTCCAACACTACAGACCTGACTTACCCAACTGGCGCGATCAACCCGAGTAACTGGACCTATCCAATTGGCACGGCTTACGTTGACCCTATACGCCGCGAGATATGTGGCTCCAACCCTGAGCGACAAGACTTCATACTAGGACCTAGCCCCGCGCCGTCATTCGCAGGTCACTTCTGTGCCAGATTCGACGTTCCATTTCATGGATATGGGACGACGCAGGACGGTGCTGTACATACGGGCGAGATAACTCGGGAGGGCAAGCTACTCGGCGCGTACGCAGCGTTCCCTCCCGAACAGAAGGTCGTGAACGTACGCGTCGGCGTGTCGTTCATATCGATCGACCAGGCTAGGAAGAATTTGGACAATGAGATACCGGACGGGACGTCGCTGGAGAGCACAGCTAAGCAGACGAGGAAGGCGTGGGCTGAGAAGCTCAACAGGGTCGAGGTTGAAGGGGGGAGTGAGGAGCAGAGGGAGATATTCTACACTGCGATCTTCCACGCGCTTCAGGCGAGTCTGATTGCATACTGGAACGTTGGAAGGATGAAGCTCATAATGCTCCCAGTACCCTTACGAACAGAACGAAGGCGGTAGATACTACTCTGGCTATGACGACAAAGTTCACACGGGCGAGTCCTATACCGGATACTCTCTTTGGGTGAGCGCAATCACCCGTACGCTCTCAAGCATGGTTGGCTCATCTTTGATCCCTCAGGACACCTTCCGTGCAGCATGGACCTTCCAGATTCTCTTTGCTCCCGAGCGTATACCCGGGATGGTACAGAGCATGCTCAACGACTTCCGGGAAGGTGGCTGGTTGCCGATGTGGAAGAACATCGTCGGTAAGCTGGGCTAACTAATCATGATCGAGTACAGAGCTGACATCTACGATACTATCAGAGACGAACATCATGGTCGGCACCCACGCAGACTCGCTTGTCGCCGAAGCCGTTCTTAAAGGTATTACGGGCTTTGACCTCGACCTGGTCTATGCAGCCGTATACAAAGATGCCACAGTGCCGCCCGTAGATGATGACAAGATCTCGTACGAAGATCGCGAGATGGGCGTTGGCTATGAAGTCCGTGCTGGACTCAGTACGGTCTACGCCGACAAAGGCTGGGTCGCGGCAGACGTTCACTCCGAGTCCGGCTCGCGCACACTGGACTACGCGTACGACGACTACGCAATCTCTCTCCTTGCCAAACACCTAGGCAAAACGTCCGACGCAGCGTTCTTTATGGAGCGTTCACTTCGTGCACCGTTCACGATCTTCAACAAGAAGACTGGGTTCATGGAGGCGCGGAACGCAGATGGAAGCTGGGCTGGAGAGGACGTTGGGTGGACGGAGGGCGATAAATGGGCGTATAGCTTCGATGTTGTGCACGCTGTGGAAGACCTCATCGAGGCGAGGGGTGGGAAGGCGGCGTTTGTGAGGAGTCTGGACGCGCATTTCGATGGTGGGCATAATGACCATGCGAACGAGGTCTGTCTTGTCGCTCTCCTCCAATGCTCGATGGCTGATACGCAATCTAGCCCTCGCATCATGTACCATACATGTACGCGCTTGCGGGCGCCGCTTCGAAAGGCCAGGAGAGGATACGCGAGGTGGCTAGAAAGGATTACAACACGACTCCTGCTGGGTTGTCAGGGGTACGTCCAGGTACTGTCTGGCGAGACCGCTCATTGATGCGTGTCATAGAACGAGGATTGCGGACAGATGAGTGCCTGGTACGTCTTCTCCGCGCTCGGCTTCTACCCCGTCAATCCTGTCTCTGGCGAGTATGTCGTCGGAACGTGAGTCCCGAATTCACATTGCACCTCGAACCCGACATTGACGACTTATGCCACAGGCCATTCTTCGACAAGACCACCATTCACCTCCCGGGTGCACCTCAACCGCTGGTAATTACGGCGCCAGGCGCCACGCACCAACCCTACGTCAAGTCTATTACCGTCAATGGCGACAGGCTCGAACGACCTGTCATTTTGCACTCGCAAATCAAAGATGGCGGGGAGATCGTCTTCGAGATGAGCGGAGAGCCGCAAAAGTGGGCTTCCGAAACGATGTGGAAAGCATAGAATCGAGATAGACCAAAGATAGACTGCATAGTGTACATTTAATGTTGTCAGGCTGCATAGAGTCTACGACCGCGGTGGCATAGCGTGCTTTGATGCTCCCTAGTACTTTCTTGTCCAGTAGTTGGCGCCCAGTGATCTGTGAGACTGGTTAGCTCATGCATGTCAAAGCCAATTCTGCCAAGGCTCACGCTGACCCAAAGCCTGTCAACGTCGTCAGTGAGAGGGGATCGACGCTGCGTCTGAACCGCGCACCACGCCCACAGAACTCCCTCTCCTCTGAGATCTGCCCCCTCGCCGACGAACCCCCTTTAGCCGCGAACGGCAAGCGCTGCATCTGCGCACTCGATGTGCGGAGATCTCCGGCGGGGATAGCAGAAGGCTCTCCCGTCTCAAGCGAAGTTGCGCTACCCCACATAGGCTTCGAGCCCGAGCTTCCGCTGCGGTCGCGAGTGGTGATGGTGGCGGCAGGCGCGTCTTCAACGGGGTGTTGCATGGCGTCAGACTTGACGGAAAGTTCTCTACGCCCAGCTGGGGTCATATAGCCCGTATAGGGGTCATGAGGACAGACTGTCTCTTGTGAACCTTGCTCGTAGCTCAGACACGCGCACGCCCGGGGTCGGGCGCAATGGGTTCGGGTTCAGATCGTTCGCCACAGGTGACGCATCGACGATATTTGGCTTGACGTGGCACAAAGGGCTTCTACAACGCACTAGTACCAGCCATAGCAGATAGAGTAGTTTACGATGGGGCGTATGTCTACCGTCATGATTTCTCGCGCAGCGGCAGCAAGGTTGACATCATGGTACTTATCATAAGTTATGTAGTCGCGGGCAACCCCGGCGGGCGCTCGGCGGGCGTGGGCATGGGCGCTTCTTGTTCTCAACATCCATCGACTGTTTTCATCGGCATTCTTACCACTCTCAAAAGAGTGCATGGAACTCCACACAGAAAGAATGTCACTGCTGCAGACATATTTGTGACCGGCTCTTGCCACGGCACCAGAGAAATTCACTGGCGCTTACTGCAGAAGGACTCGGTATCGTATGTGAACGTCTCGGAGTTCTTGGTGCCGCTGATGAATGTGCTGGTCCACACAAACGTTCGGCCCCCAAGCTCGTCGCCTATCGGTGTCATGATCCTCTTCAGTAGCGCAATATCACTCCCGATACTCGTACGTCTACTATCACTAGGACTTCTCGCACCCTCACGGAGCCGTTATTTCCGTTCTTCGGGATCGTACAGTCTAACCGTCGACATCAGACGCGGTAACCACGCCACATGCAAGCATCCGCCGGTTCTAAAGTCTAATAAGTCTACCTGCTTCGATCAGCGCCTGAATCCTTCGATATCTCAAGCGCTAATTTACGACTGTGGAGAGCTCGTGGAGAGCGACATGTGGGGAGGCGCACACTTGTTGGCGACGTCGTCGACTCCTGTGTGGAGGGACGATCGCTAGTCGCGCCGGTGGTTGTAATGAGTATGTAGGTCTCATTCATCTCTTGAGTGGACGTATGTCTTACCGAGTGTACATAGCTCATTCTACCATATGCACTGTCCTTGCCTGTGAGTTTCGCCTGTCAAATCTTCACGCTGTGGCAACGTCCATTCAGAAATAAGCGAGCTCTCACACAGCGGATGCCATCCGGCCACCGGCGGGCTCCTCGTGCTCTCTGATGCGCTTTCAACGGAACATAGCGCAGCGGCTCTGGAGCCTGCGTTCTATCAACTGTAAATGTCGTATGCGCCGCTCACGCCCTGGAGCGAGCGCTGCCGGACAACTCGGGCCCGTACTGAATGCCCAGGTCCTACAGTACTGGCATTCTACCTTTGGGGGATGCGCCACCAATTGCATATGCCCCTATAAGACAAGTCGCGGCGACCTGCCTCGAGCTAAGCGTATTCAATCTCATTCGGAGCGCTCGGGTGGTCTTCCAGACGACCCTACGACAGCTCTATACAATCCTCCTCGCCAATTTGATATCGAAATTGGGGACGCAGCCGTCTAGTCAACTGAAATCGCAAGGTCTTTCTGCCGAGTAGCAACGGACAGCATTCTGTCCGGACTTTCCCGTGATTTTTGATATGAAGTTCTGACGGCCAAGCGGCTGCCGGTGGGAGTGAGTTCCTGAAGGGGTGCATACAAACCTTCTTCGCAAGGGTGCCCAAACACAAGCGCTTCTTATTTGATATTGACGTAGGCCTCCTTCCCCTTCGCACCTCGAGAAGATCGCCGAAGCCGCAAGAAAATGGGGACAAGCTGTCGGGTCTGCGCCTCGTCGTATGCACGGCGGTATATGAGCGACGGTCCACATGCCCTCACAACTCTTGCGATCTTGCCGAAGCCCCCCGTCCGAGTCCACGAGCGCTCGTTCCCCGACCGTCGACTTACAGCCAAGGTCTTGCAGTTGTACATAACATACCGCCGGTCGTCCCTTCAGCGATCTTCATCTTTACACCATGGCGACTATCGACTTGGCTTTTGCATCGAAGATGGTCTTCGTGTAAGTGTCGGTGTGCTCTATTGGGATAGTAGACTGATAGTGCACTCGCAGGACGCAGATTCACTTCTGCTGTACGTGTAATTGCACCCGGGTTGAAGTCTAAGCTTACCGATTGATGATCTTCCCGTCTCTATAGGCATGTGTGAGTAGCATATCCCCTCTTCCTCGATTGAGTCATTTGACGAGCGATCTGCAGACGCCGTTTGCGTTTGGGATTGGCTCCTGAGCCTCAAGAAAGAGTATCGCCTGGTATGTCTGCGATCTTCTCATCTAACGCTGTGAGGCTCACAAGACTTGCAGATTTGGAAGTCCCAATGGACCGTTGTGAAGGGATTGTACCTCTTCACCAGGTATTGGGTGCTTGTCATCCTTCCATACGTCCTCTGGTGTTACTGTGTCGATCATGACCAGAATACATGCAATCACGTTTACAAGGTATGTCGATAGGAATGCACATACTCTTCCCCAATACTTACATGTCCTGTGCCAGTCACCGGTGGCTCTCGCCATGTGGAACCAAGCGGGAGCAGAGGGTACGTCGTTTAGACGCCTGTGCGATTGCCCTTCTCGACTAACGCCTCCCTAGCGATTCTCCTCGTTCGCACCTACGCTTACTACAATCGCAACAAATACGTCCTTGCCGTTCTCAGCTGTATGCTTTCGACGGTCCTCGCATACCAACTTTGGGTAGATATCCGGGCGATGTTACGTGCGTATATTGCGAGGTCGTAGGTTCACATGCTGATGGCAGGCATACAGCTCTTCCATTCTTGAACGGTGTGAGCGGCCCTTGCTTGCCCATGCCCATTCCTGGTCAAGCCCATCTTCTTGGTATGAGCACCTCTAGTTGTCGTAGTCATTGTTACCGACATGCGCACAGGCTTCTTCGTGGCACCTCTCATCTTCGACACCATCATCACCGCTGCGACTCTGGGCAAGGCCTTCATCATGCGGAAGCGCAATGGTCCCTCCAGCCACATTGTCCAGACTTTCTTGAAGGAGGGCCTGTTTTACTTCGTCCTGATCTCCTGCGCGAACTTGGTTAGCACGCCCTGCAATACGCAATACTTCGCCCTTGTGACATTTCCTCCTGCAGCTCAACGGCATCTTCTACTTCCAAAGGCGCACAGAGATGTCGGCGATCATGATTCCGTTGAGCATCATGCTTAGTCCTCTCCTTGCCTGCCGCTTGGTATGTTCTCTACGAGCATCGTCACAGCTACCCCCGTTGATCGCCGTGTATAGATTCTGGACATTCGCGCGCGCGCCAGTGATCGCTCTGTATACCTTTCTGGAGGACAGTCTTCGGGCCCACGTCTCGGCGGACGCCCTCCGGTCGCTACTCCGAATGGTATCAGCGAGTTCGCTATCTCGGCTGGAGGCGTACAAACGCAAGACCATTCCTCCGGTGGTATTGAACTCGGCTCGTTGTCAGTCCATGAGGATCCGGACTACAAGGGCGAGTCTCCCATCGGCACGGGCACCTACCCCGTTCAGCTCCCGTACGGTCAGCATCCTACCGGAGGTATCCGCGTTGATGTGGAGAAGGGTGTGGTCATCCGATGAACGATGCTTGAGCCACTCTATGCGCCCTCGGGCGCTTGTGACCTTCAAAAGACCTCATACCTATATTTCTTGTCGATACTACATTCGTCCGTACATAATCCGTCGCTCATTTCTTGACAATTCTCGCATACTCGAAAATATTCTCACGTACGCGCACTCTGGTATCGAGAGAGTCCGTACGACACCGCAAGGAAGAAGATCAGCGCGCGCCAAAATGGGGTTTGAGTGAGTTGCTTCTGGCCATCATGCGATCATCTTCGCTTATATCTGGATACGTCTCCCCCTGGCTACATCGGCCAATTGTTAAGAACCTGTTAGTACGCTCTGCCCGATGATCGCCGTCCGTGCTTACCGCCGGTTCACCCTCGCGACGGACATAGCGACACGCGTGCATCGTTTCATCCGCAGACCGAAAGCACTTGACGGGGAAGACTAGGCATGATCTCGAGCCTCCAACTCACCGTTCAGAACCTACGCTGAGTATACGCGTGCCGCCACCAGTCTGCATATTCAGGAACCTGTCAGCGAAAGGCTCGGCCGCCCGACCCCGCAGCGAGGGGCCCTTCTGATGTACAGTAATATTTGTATGGGGCCAATTCACAGGAGATTCGCGAAGATGGTTCTGAGTTCGGCCCCACGATTAGCCTTAGCCTAATGGCGTATCTGTACTTATACATGCTTCTGGCTGGGCTCATCAGCCATATAGCGTCCTCTCTCGCTCTCCTGCCGCTCGAGTCCGCCAGTCGCAGAGAGCAATCATGGGCATCCTTGCGGCCCTCTTCAGTAGTCTCTCGTCGTTGCTCCTCAAATTCGTCGTTCTTTACTTCCTCGGCAATGTTGTCTACCAACTATTTCTCTCCCCGCTTCGCCACATCCCGGGCCCGTGGTACGCGGCCATCTCTGAGGCTTGGTTGACCTCGCACGTCTTCCGCCTACGGCAATGCCGCGCGGTGCAGTCGCTCTTTGAAGTCTACGGCCCCATCGTGCGCATTGCACCAAATAAGGTCGCTTACCGGGACGCAACCTCGAACAAGCGCATCTACAACAATAGCAAGTTCTCGAAGGGCATATTCTACAAGTCTCTTTTGACAAACGACAATGACCATGCGTGCGTCGTCCTCTCTTAGCCCACCCCTCTCATACTCACGCGATATCTCGACCTCACTAGAATGTCAATCCTCCCACATGCCCAGCATGCCGTCCGCAGGAAGTCCTTTGCACCCCACTACACGCCGTCCAACGTGGCCCTCTTCCAGCCGGAGATGCGTGACTATACTCTGGAAGTCGTCGAAGTCAGTCGGTATTCCAGTATCGTGGATTCCTTCAGGTGCTCACCTTTCACGTAGATACTCGAGCAGACTGGTGGCAAGGAGGCTGTAGATGTCCTCCATCTCTTCCGCGAGATGCTCGTCGATATCATCTGTGAAGCGTCGTTCAACTACAAAGTCGGCGCGCTCAAAGCACGGACCCGTGACGGTCATCAACATTACCTGGTTCGCGCGATCGACGATTTCCCGAAAGTCGGCGTCTTGGTATGCTTCCTCGATCGCGTTTCTTGATCCTGGCTGACCGTCTCTCCAGCGCGGTCTTGTACCTGTGTGGGCATGGGAATACGTTTGCAACATTCCCAACGACCGCTGGAAGGCGTTCTGCGACGCGGACAAGATGATCGCGAAGGTGAGTGCATCAGATACCGTCTGATGTGCGCCCTGTTGACCTAACACAGTTCATTGGTGACCGTGTGCACGAAAAGCGCGCTGAGATGAAGGACGGCAAGCTCGACGAGATGGAGAGGAAACCACTGGTTCAACGCCTGCTCGAGTACCGTCTGCCTAGCGGAGAGCTGATGCCGGAGAAGGACGTTGTCTCCGAGCACGAGGGTCACTTGTACGTGGCACAGGCTTGGCGCATTCTATTTCTCGCACTGACCGAGAGTCCGTCTGCTAGCATCGCTGGGGTCGACACCACTTCTACCACGCTATCTTTCGCGCTCTGGGAACTCAGCCGCCGCCCTGACGTTGCAAGGAAACTGCACGCTGAGCTCGATGGTGCCATGCCTGACCGGAAGACTATCCCCGACATCACCGTCCTTGAGAAGCTGCCATACTTCAACGCCGTCATCAAGGAGACCTTGCGTATCTACGGTCCTGGCCCTTCGCTTCTTGAGCGTGTCGTCCCGGAAGCGGAGCCTTCGTTCGAGGTTCTTGGCTGCCACATTCCTCCTGGCACGACCATCGCCACTCAGTCTTGGTCGGTGCACCGCGACGCCTCAGTCTTCCCGTCCCCCGAGACCTATCTTCCGGACCGCTGGCTGGACGCGGACGAGGAACAGCTCGCGGAGATGACAGCACACTGGATGCCTTTCGGCTCTGGCATTCGCATCTGCGGTGGTATGGCCTTCGCTCTGCAAGACATCCGCATCGGCCTTGCGACGTTCGCGAGGAATTTCGATGTCACTGCGCCTCTGGATGAGACGAACGACCGGACTATGGAAGTTCGCGATGCGTTTGTGTCGTTCCCGGCCGCGATGCGCTGCAAGCTCAAGTTCCATACACGCGCTCAGTAGTGCACTCTTCCCATTGCCTGCGTACTAGCCCTTGTTATACACTCCCTACCTTCTGCCTTCTTATGCATGTCTTGGTCCGTTTCGAGCCACTGGTATCAAAGCCAATCTTATATGGATGCCAGCGTGGGACTACTGTACAGTGCCTTTGCTAGACCGCAATAGTCTTCGTTGAAGACGAGTAACGTCATAAACGGGATGTAGCGAGATGAGCTGGGTCCGACTATCCACATCCAACTCATCGATTGTTGAACCTCGTCGTCCTCAGTCTGACGTCATGGGATACAATGGATACAGATACAAGTACATGGGATTGAGTTCGTTCAACATTAAGCAGAAATGCGAGAATGTCAAGTTGCTGGCGACCATGATTTGTCTCTGGGCCGATGTGAGAAGAGATCTGCAAAGGGCGGATGAAAATGACGCACATCGTTCGCTGGGCGCGATGTTCTGAGCTCGAGAGTTGTAGCCGTCGCGAGGAGGCGCGTCGCTTTCGAGGACTGTCTCGCGCACGCTGGGCGCGGGTGGTAGGTCTTCGTTCAGAGTAGCGCTCGGCTCTCCTGTAGCTTGGGACAGCGCGTCGTCCTTCCCCCACATCTTCTTCTCCGAGTCTGGAGAGTTCAAGACGAGGGCGTCAGGTTGATCGCGACCAATTGGGGACGACATTGTGAGATGGTGTATAGAGCAGAGGTAGTAGGGTGGTGAGGCGTTTGGGATGTTAATTTATAGCGTCAAACTATATAGTCACCAGTGGTGGTCATGCGTGCAGATGACCACGGCGCCTGGGGTCTCAGAGGATCACGAGAACGCAATACGTCAGTCGCAGACGCCATAGGCGTACTACACAAGAAACCGCTCTCACGTTCGAAAGGCTGTTCTAGCCATCCTTTCTCGCGGATTCAACGCGAAATGCGTGAAAGCGTATGAGGAAAACCGAAAGCTAGCAACCTGCCGCACGTTTCAATTGGGCGAACAAGGTTGGGAAGGACCGTCTGCAATAAAAAGGGCTCCTGCGCATGTATTGGACCTGTGTAGATATGTACACCTGCGGGCACGTCTCCGTGATGGTGGTCGCAAGTCGAAAGCACGCGTGCCCTCGGCCCAACCGCGACGCTCGTGATTACCGCCTTTCCCGCGCCGCCGACGCGTTCGAAACGGCGGCACCGACGCGTCAAGCGAATGCAGGTTGATCTTCTATCTTCACCGGTCACCACCACCACACGCGACTCGCCAATCACACGAAATAATCGCTATGGCCGCACCTTCCAGGACCGCTGTGCACGTCGACGAGGACTTGGATGATCTCGACGGTCGGTTCGAATCACCCGTTACCCCGCATTCGGCATTCTGAGCTTCATTAGATATCCTCGAGGAGTTCAAGCCTCCCGCGGCAACAGCCGCATCCGTCACCGTCCCACCGCCCAGTACCAAATCTCCCGCAGCCTCATCTAGTGCACCAAAACCTGTTGCCCAACCCGATCCGGACGCCTTCAACGCCGATTTCGCGGACGAGTTTGCGAAGCAGATGGAGGCCGCGCTCCGTGAACTCGGTGGCGAGTCTGGTGAAGCCGGTCCCTCGTCAACTGCGCCTGCATCAGACAAGGACAAGGAGCAGGAAGAGGCTTTCAGGAAGGCCTGGGAGAAGTTATTGGTCGACGGCATGAATGGCGAGGGCGAGGGCGAAGGCGCGCCACCCGCAGCGAATGCAGCCGAAGATCCCTTCCAGAAGAATATTCGCGAGGCCATGGAACGCTTGAAGCAGAGCGATGAAACGTTACAGGTGCGTATAAACTCTGGAATAGCACTGCAATGTACTCATACAGCGTAGGCGAATGCTGCTTCAGGTGGCGATGATCTAGAGAAGCTACTTGCTTCTTTGGGTGGAGACAGCACGGATGAAGATCTGCATGGTATCCTGGAGGGAATGATGGGCCAACTCATGAGTAAAGACGTTCTATACGACCCGTTGAAGGAGTTGCATGAGAAGGTATGCTCCATCGTTCACTCGTGTAACACTTGCTAAGGCCTATGTTCAGTTCCCTGCGTATATGAAGGAGAACGACGCAAAGCTCAGCAAAGCGGATAAGGAGAGGTACCAGGCTCAGATCGCTTCCATCACTAAGATTATGGCGGTCTTCGACGATCCTGCGTATAAAGACGAGGACCCAGAGAAGAGCGCTGAGATTGTTGCATTGATGAGCGAGGTTCGCGGACTCGTATTTCCTGCGCACGATCGGCGTGCTAACCTGAAACCAGATGCAAACGCACGGCTCGCCACCAGAAGAGCTGATGGGACCTCTACCTCCTGGTCTGAATCTGGGCACTGACGGGATACCTAAACTTCCGGAAGACTGCCAGACGCAGTAACTTACACGTGAATCAGGGCGCTCGGGTACGCAATCACTCTACGCTCCTAACTCCAATCTTTTTTGTATTATCTATCTCGAATTGTATACCTGGAAGCGGAGGTTTGGATATCTCATTCGTCATTGTTCGCTATATAGGGTGTTGCACATCGGGTTCTCGATGACCGCACATGACGTCTCAGGGCAGGGATGTCAACAGTTGAAGGCGGGCTGCTGCTTGCTTGTGTTTCAGACTGGAAACGAGTGGCGCATTGTGCGTCCAGACCCTCAGGCGGAATGCGAACTTTGCCTGGTCTACTCGTTTGAGATAAAGCGCGCGGCTTCGTTATACACCACCACCGTGTGGTACGTTCACACATCAGACCACTCGTCCAACCCGCTCTTTTCGAGTTCACCGCATTCCTCAATCCCATCCGCTGTCAGTTATGCTGCTTCGCACCCTCCCCCGCGGGATGAACCCTACAACCGTCCCCGCGACGCCCGAACGCCGCGGGCGTCTCCTACGCAAACCCGCATTTCTATCCCGACGCACCCGCTCTCGCTCAGAGAACACTCCTATTCTGCCTACACTCCCAGCTCTACCTGCCGCCTTTCCCATGTCTACCGCGAAACCCACAGCGCGCCGGCAACCTTGTGTTGCATTGCTCAACGAGGTCGACGAAGATGCTGTTATCGTTACAGCTCTGGACGAGCTGCCCTTTTGCTGTCACGCCGATCTCATCTTGATGCCACATACCGCCCTCGAAGACGTTGCCGACGTGCTCAACTCGCGCTTGCCGTTAGCCCTGCAGATCAACAAACGCATGGGCGACCAGCACGTACGGAGCGCTATCGAGCTGTTGGTCGGGCTGAGGGAGGTTGGGACCTCCCCGCTCCTGAACGCACCTACGACCAACATACGCCTTGGCGTTCAACTTCATCAGGTCCAACCGGGACCGGACGTATTGGAGGGACCTGAATCGCCTCTGGCTGGGAGAAGCTTCGTACCGGGCACCTTACGGGCTGTCAGCGAGGACTCTCGTGAGAGCATCGGTTCTGTGAGCGGACCAGAGGACGAAGGGATCGTCGACGTGGGTAGCGCGGTCATGCAACCGCTACCGCTACGCCCTTCCAAGAAACGCAAGATCAGCCCCAGTATCGTTGCTTACAACTGGGACCCGCCCTCGTCCTTCGATGATATATGCGAGCGTGATGAGCTGCCCCCACGACCTCGTAGCCCAAAACGTGCACGTCTTGATGATGCGTTCGAAGACGACGAGGCGGAGACGATGGAGTGCATATTCACCCGACCTGAGAAGCCACGGTTACTCGGTGCAGGCTTTCCCTCTTCGCCGATGCGCGACCCTCGGTCGTCGGGATCAGAGGTGTCACCAGCTTGTCGCGCTACAAGCTCTTCATATATAGGTGACTCTCTTGGGGAGCTGGCCATGGCTCTAGGTGCTCTGAGTCTACCTTCTGATGTTAGCATGGCTTCCGCCGTGACTGTCCCCGAAGCTCTATCCTTATAGTGAACCCGTTATTCTTGCTTTGTCTGTATCGTGCCTATACAATCATGTAGTGTCGTATCCTGTTCTTGCAATGACCAGCTTATGTTTGAACCGAAGATGTGTAGTGTTCAGCGTATCAGCATATACAGGAAAATGCCTCATCAAGTTTGCGCAATAGACTAGATAAGATAACACTCGGCATCGGCCGAGTCGGGCGTGCTATCAAAGCATCTTTGACTTTCCGCCCCTCCCAAGTCGGCCGTTGCCGGCACCGAAACGGCGGCCGTAACGACGCGCCGGCTCAGGTCGCGTGATGACGTTAAGTAACCATCATAATAAAGTGCAAAGGGGCTATTTCGAAGCCTCGGTGTCGTATTGGCAGTGTTCCTGAGCGGTGACGCATTGCAGAAGGTCGCGGGTTCAATTCCCAATGTCTTCTTGCTTGCTTTTTTAAGCAAAGCCCTGTGCACTCGAGTTAGGGCTAGCAAGCGGAGCGCTAGCCCTAACTCGAGTGCACATGGGCTTTGCGGGGCTATAATTATTACTAGACCTGGATACTAGTAGATAGGTCTCAGTTCATGTACTGGGAGGGTTAAAGGTTAAGGTTACTAGTTAGGGTTAGAGGTTAGGGTTGGTTAGGGTGGTTAAAGGTTAGGGTTAGGGATTAGGGTGGAGAGGTATATATTCTGCTTTAACGTAGGAGGAGGGGATATGTACATTGTGGGGAAGGAGAGCACGTGAAGCACCGAGCGTGCGGCGGAGGAACCCACGGCGCGGCTCTCGGCTTGATCCGCGTTTGGGAGGGGCGGAAAGTCGCCAACTCTATCAAAGCGCCTGGACGCGTTCGCCACCTGCCTTTCACCACCATCGTCTGGTCAGTCTCGACTAATACTTCGCACCGGAAAGGCTCTCGTGCTTACGCTGAACCTCGTATCTAGAGGGATATGCGGGCCGTCAGAGGTCAGTGCTTCCGCGTGCACTTACACACTAATAGACTGATCCCTGGTCTCGTCAGGCGTACTCCTCACATGGTGCGCTCACAGGAAATTGATGGCTCGTCATGGTACTCAATGCTAGACCCAGTGATTCGGCTGTGAAACAAATCTTGCTGTTCTTGAATAGGCAGACAAGCTTCATACTCGAAGATCTGGACGACTACCACGTTCTCATCAAGGAGAACATGGAGGCATGGGTTCGCAGTCAACTTGAACAAGAGGTCAGCTTGATGTCTTACAGCCGTATGTCACGAGCTGACGCCTTACAGCTTGAGAAAAACACTTATAGTCTGGAATGAGTTGATGCTATTGGGAGCAGTCACCCGTGTGATTGCCGGCACTCTGGGAAGATGCCTGTTTCAAGTCTCTTCCCAGGACGACTCGTGTGTACATGCCGCTTTGCTACTTCCATGAGATAACTTGCATTCGCGGATGGCTGTTTCCTGTACTGGCTAGGTTCTGTCACATAATGACACCATTGAGATACGTGCTATCTCCTCCGCACTCGTCAAGATGCGCTTTTATGTGAGCTTCGGCGAGGAACGTTCAGTCTACTGTGCTCCCTCTCCAGATCGCCAGGCCGACTCTACGCACTACGCCATTCAACTGCGCTACCTGGGAATGTCGGAGTTCTTCGCTTCTTAACACCGTGGATACAGCATTACGGTCGCAAAGACACGTCACCCGCAACATGCTGCTGCCCGACATTGCCAGCCACGGTCGTGGGTTATTGCTGGCACTCTAGCTTCTCATGCTTCATTGGGCGGTATATGAACCTGATCGCGCGCGCGAATAGACTTCGGTTTGCTGCCACCCCTCAGCCATCATCATCTAGATCATGCTCCCGGCCTTCAGCCAGAGCCTTCCACCCAAACCGAAATGGAGCGTAGATGACATTCCGGATCTCAGCGGAAAGGTTATGATCGTGACCGGTACGTCTCTTGCTCTTCATGGCTATGAGCACCCGTCCCTCAAGAAGACCCAGGTGGGAATACGGGAGTGGGCAAGGAGACAGTCAAAGCACTGCTGCAACACAACGCCACAGTGTACCTCGCCGCTCGCGATGCAGAGAAGGCAAAGCAAACCATCGAAGACCTCAAGTCTACTACGGGAAAGGAAGCTGCCTTCCTGCACCTGGATCTGTCAGACTTGCGAATCGTCCGCAAATCAGCGGAGGATTTCTTGTCGTAAGCTTCAGCCGGATCTCCTGTGAGGCGCATCACGCATATGGCTGACTTCGACTATCAGTAGGGAGAAGCGACTCCATGTACTCTTCAATAACGCGTGGGTATTGCGGGCCTCGTCCGTACATCATGACTGGCACCGAGCTCATCTCATCGCCACAGAGGGGTCATGGCTTGTCCTATGAACCTACTCACAGAACAAGGATATGTACGCGCATATCTTGCTGTTTCACTCTTCTACGCTCACGGTTATCATAGGACATGCAGATCGGGACTAACGTCATCGGACACTACTTCTTCACCTCTCTGCTCTTACCTGCCCTTGAAGCTGCGTCTATAACCGGGGACAAAGCGCGCATTGTGACGACCTCGTCACTAGTCGCTTACTTCGCCAAAGACTTCATCTTCGATGCAGTGAAGGATGGACCACGACGGAGGAAGCTCAATCCTCGGGAGCTGTACAATATCAGTAAACTTGTAGGTCTCCGCCTACGGTTCAAGCCAGACGTCACGAACATCCACAGGGAGACGCTTTGCTCGCTCTCGAACTATCCAGACGTTGGGATGATAAGATCGTCTCTGTCGCCGTTAACCCGGGGAACATCAAGACGGACCTTCAACGCCACATGCCCGGTTGGCAACGTCCCTTGGTCGTATGTACCATTTCACAGTTATCTCGCACCCACCGTGACTCAGCGAGCTTTTAACGTAGAACCTTATGCTATACCCGAGCCCGATGGGTGCTCTCAGCCAATTATGGGCGGGCGTGTCGCCGGAAGGAGCGAGCCTCAACGGACTGGTACGCCTGGGTAGTTCTTCATATGGCAGTATCGAAGTTGAACGCGCCCGTAGTTCATCATACCCTGGGCTCGCGTTGGCACCGCGCCGGCTAAAGCACAAGACCACGCCCTGGCGGAGAAGCTTTGGTCGTGGGTTGACGACCTTTGCCGAGGCTACTAGCGATGGCGCTCGTCGTACGTGGTGGGCCTGTACGACCCCGTTATGATATCGCTGAAGCGCTGAAGAAGCCGTCGGACGCAGACTCGGCTCTGTACTTATCTCTTCTTTAACACCGCTCCATGCATGACCAGTCGTCTGACAAGACGCTCACCTTCCCATCGAGAATATCTGCTCATGCACCCAGTTGCCCCGAGCGCTTCAGACCCACAACAACGCGGTATGCACTGCCGCGCGGGCCGGTATAATCCCTTTACTGTATGGCGTTCCAAGCTTCTGAAGGTCTGAGCACCCACACGGCCTCCTGAGCCGACAAGATATCGCTTTGTCACCACGTGGGCGACTGCTATCATCTCCGTCGGAGATCGCGCCTTTTGTTCTTCTTCTCCTTCCACCTCTTCTTCATGACGGCACCATTGCATACAGCCACGGATCTCGCATGGGCGTATCGATCTCAACGAGCGGATATCTTGTGAGCGCTCGCCGACTGAGTGCACCCGAATCTATTGTTGGTTCATCCTGCACAAGCGAGGTCTGTTGATCAACCATGCGTATCACGCTCCATTTCATCGGGCGCTTGTTCCGGTAGAAGGGCACGGCCGCTTTGAGCACAAACGATGTCCTTCGCTTCGGTGTGCTCCATCATCATCATGTCCATCCTTCGTACGTATATAATAAGACGTTCGTACGGGTTTTGCGAGATCGCCGTGCCCGTCGCCCACTATGAGATCACACGGCCTGTCTGCCCTGCTTGCTGTCGTGCTCGCGCTCCCCTCTGTTGTGCTCGCCGGTCAGATCCCCGTCGTGAACGGGATTATCGGTGATGTACCCAATGGCGCCACCAAGAGCGCGAAGGTCAAGCAGGCGTTCGTGAAGCAGCCAGCCACGAACGTCTCCAGTGCGATCTCGTCCAAGCCGACAGCAGGCGCGTTGCGTGTCGTCGAGAACTCCGGTGTCTGCGGTGCGTTCTTGCCCACCCTTGTTCTCTTGATCGCGCTAGTGTTAGTCCGACGCTAATTCGTTGTCATGCCATTTGTAGAGACGACACCTGGCGTGTACCAGGCTTCGGGCTACGGAGACATCGCGTCGGACAAAAGCATCTTGTGCGTACTGTTTTAGGGGCACATATGTATGCCGCTATCTCTGACGCCGCGCATTCAGCTTCTGGTTCTTCGAAGCTCGCAACAACCCGGATACCGCGCCCTTAATCGCGTGAGTAGCCTCAGGGTCATTCTGAGTGTCACGAGAGACATATGCCGATACAATCTGCAGATGGTTCAACGGAGGGCCCGGTAGCTCGAGTATGATTGGCCTTTTCCAAGAGCTGGGTACGTGCGAGCTTATTCCTGTTTTGGATGGTCTCACGCTAATTTGCCGCCGGCAGGACCGTGCCGGATCAACAACGCGAGCACGGGCGTTGATCTCAACCCTGAATCGTACTCTGAGTTTGCCAACGTGTACGCATATGCATCCTGTTCTCGCCTCGCGACGCTATACTCACATTGAGCCGCCCTCAATAGACTCTTGTACGTGAAACCCTCACTCCGTTCGCCGAATGAGAGATTTGACGCACATGGTGTAGCATTGACCAGCCAGTGGGCGTTGGTTTCTCGTACGGGACTACGGAAGTTGGCACGTCGCAGGAGGCTGCTTCGGATGTCTGGGACGTGCGTTCATCCACTGCAGACTGAGTTCATCAGATGACTGATGCGGCTACCACAGTTCTTCCAAATCTGGTTGAACGATTCACGGTTTAGCAAGTTCGCTGCGCGTCCTTTCGGGATCTGGACGGAGAGTTACGGGGGACATTATGGGCCTACATTTGCTGCGTGCGTGCTCAGCATCAACCTTGACTTGGGGGCTCTGACCAACGGATCATATAGGTACTTCCTCGAGCAGAACGCGGGCATCGCGAACAAGAGCATCTCCGGCACACCCATTAACCTCAAGTATCTCGGCGTCGGCGATGGTCTGACTGTATGGACTTAGTTCTCCTGGTAGACACACGAAGGCTGAAGTGTTCTTTAGGATCCACTCAACCAATACCCGGGCTATATCGAGTACGCCGCCTCCAACCCATACCACGCCCTCGTGTCCACGTCCACGATCACCCGCGCCAACACGTCGTTCCATGCGTCAGGCGGCTGCCAGTCGCTTATTGAGCAATGCTACTCAACTGGCTCGACCTCTACTTGCTCCCGTGCGCAGAGCAACTGCAACAACAACATCCTCAGTCCACTTGCGGGTAACTGGGATGTATACTACGTGTTGACGCAGAACCCAGACCCATACCCGCCATCTCTTGACCCCTACCTCTCGTCCTTCGCAGTGACCTCTAAGATCGGTGCGCAGTCAGAGTGGTCGGAAACAAACGATGATGTCTATGAGAACTTGTGTGTGATATGCTATCTTGGTGTTCTACGGTAGATCGAGCTAATCATGGTCTATTCGACAGTGCGGCTACGGGCGACTGGATGCACAACTCCCGCCCAAACCTCGAGACAGTGATCGACTCCGGCGTCCGCACAGTTGTCTTCGATGGCGACGCAGACTTCATCCTGAACTTCAAGGGCGTCGAAGCGATGGTCGACGCACTCGACACCAAGTTCACGTCTACCTTCGCGCAGCAGGGGTTCAGCAACTTCACGGTAAAGGGCGTCAGTGCGGGTTTGTTTAAGAACGCCGGAACGTTCTCGTATGTGAGGTTCTTTGGCGCCGGACATGAAGTGCCGGCGTATGAGTGGCCGGGTGTTACGCGTGGAGCTGCAGCTCTTCAGGTGAGCTGCTTCCTGGTTGGCTTTGGGACTATGCGGAGGGCTGACGGGATATCGCCCAGATGTTCACACAAATCATGTCGAACCAGTCCTTATCGGGCACGTAATATATGCGACCATCATCACGATGTGTAGAATAGATGCTCCAATTCAGTTTTTTTGGCGCACCCAGCATAACCCGTCTGACGAGAGTACATCTTCACCTTCAAGCTCGTGTGCATCGCTAACTGGACAGTTGGCGCGTCGTCTGGTCCACCCACCCAAAGCAGATGTGTCTCAGGGCCTCATCGTACGGTATCCAAACAGATCCGAACATATCGTATGCGGCACTGGGCACATCAGTGCGGGCTGACGACCTGTGGTCGCTCGCGCTCGAAATTCATTTTCCGGGCCGACCGCGGTCCGCTCGAGTCACCCACGTTGTCCTCCTCCCGACGTCGCGCATCCCGTCTAATCGCCTTCACACAGCAGCCGGCCTGATGCGCCCGCCGTCTGGTCATGGAAGGATGACGCGGTATACAACCTTCATCTCTTCCCGCCATCATGCCATCTGAGCCTCTCAAGGTTGAAACTTATTTTCATCAGGCATGCAGATGATACTCATCTCGACTAGCGCATTCTTGTTACCGGCGGCGCGGGCTACATCGGTGCGTTCTGAGTGAAGTATGCGACTGGCAGTTCAACGTTTGCTGACGGTCTTCTACTTCTACCAGGCTCGCACGTCATTCATGTCCTGCAACAGACCCGTCGCTTCAAGATCATCGCGATCGATAACTACCACAACTCCCCTCCCGCCGTCTACGATCGTTTGACCAAGATTGCGCGCGATGCTCTTCCAGCGGATGCGACTGAACAGGACAAGGATTCGACCGAGATCGACACGTACAAGGTCGACCTCATCAACGCCGAGGAGGTCCGCGCCGTCTTTGAGAAGTACGGCAAGGGTGGTATCTGGGGTGTCATCCACATCGCGGTGAGTAGATCTCTTTGCGGAGACGTCAAGTCGCACCCCATTCATCCCGATCCTGACGAACTTGACATCAGGCGCTGAAAAGCGTAGGCGAGTCGACTCAGATCCCAATCACGTATTACCACAACAATGTCGCCGCGACCATCTTCCTCCTCGAAATCATGTCCGACTTCGAGTGCACGCGCTTCCTCTACTCGTCCTCGGCCACTGTCTACGGTACTCCGCCGCACATCCCGATCCCGGAGTCCACTCGCCTGCATGCCGATAGCCCCTACGGTCGCTCCAAGGTCATGTCGGAGTTCATGCTCGAGGATCTGTGCCACGCCGAGCCGAGCCGCTGGCGGGCGATCTCCCTGCGCTACTTCAAGTTCGTCGTCCAAGTCTCTTTTGGCTTCTCCATGGTGTCCTAAGCCGTTCATACAGCCCTGCCGGTGCTCATCCCTCCGGTTTCATCGGAGAGGACCCCCAAGGACGCCCTGGGAACCTCTTGCCCTTGCTCGCGCAGATTGCTGGTGGCCGTATCAAGGATCCCGAAGTGAAGGTCTTCGGCAACGATTACCCGACACCCGACGGCACCTGCGTTCGGGATTACTTGCATGTCATGGATCTTGCCAAGGGTCATCTCATCGCTCTTGACGCGCTCGCGCCAGAGAGCAAGGTCTTTGACAACTGTCCAGATGAAGCTCGCTATAAGGCCTACAACCTTGGTAGCGGCCGCGGGTTCTCAGTTCTGCAGATGATCGAGGCTATGCGCAAGGTCAGCGGATTTGACTTTAAGTATTCTATCATCGGACGCAGGTATGATAGTCTCACTACCCTGTCTACACCTTGATGCTGAGTTGTGATGTAGACGAGGCGATGTCCCCGATCTTACTGCCGACCCAACCCTCGCCGAGAAGGAACTCGGGTTCAAGACGGAGTACGATCTGGAGACGATGTGCCGCGATTTGTGGAACTGGCAGGCGAAGAACCCGCAAGGTTACGATACCCAGTAGGTAGACGGCATCAGATGAATGTACCTAGGACTGTGCGAAGGACAATACGGATTATGCTATAAGTACGCACGCACGCGCAGAGCGACATTGACTGGTGTACGATAGTCAGGCAAGTGGACCCTTTTGGTTCGTACGGAGGGGACTAAAGTAAGTACATGTGGTGGGTATTGTCGTTGTGGTAGCGCAGGAGGTAGGGCGGGTGCGGGTCGGCGCGTTGTGCAAGGAGAATTTGGGATACCCGAAGCTAGCCCGAGGGTACGAGTGGCTCAAAGACGGGCCACAATTAAGACGTGCATCAGCCTTGTGCGGTGTCGGGTGTACACGACCCGTCGTACAGTTCAATGGAAGTGACTTGAGAATGGCGTGGCAAGAGCGCCCCAACACCGGCTTCGAAGTTTGCGCCGAAGAACCTGAGAACTTGGCCTGCGCTGTACAGTTTGCGACGATTGGATCCTAACATCGAATTGACAGTGGGTGAGAAAGATGTAAGGGTTCCATACCATCGAGTGTAGTGCTCTCACGAGTTCTGCGCAGTGTCACTTGAGCACCTTGCGCTACGGAGCCTAAGGCTGAGCGATTGGAGAGTATAAGTACTGAAGAATGGCATTCGGAGAGAAAGTCAGGTCGCTCCATTGCGTCTTCAACAGTACGCACTCATAGTTATCTCTGCCGCCCCGATTGGTCATCATAGATTCCAGGTCGCAACTGTCCTTCAAACCATTATCCATCCAATCGCTCAACATGACAGTAAGCGCAATCTCGCACCCGTTACTGTCGCGGGCCGCTAACGCCGTTCCTCCATCCAGCACGACTACGTCGGCGACGGGTTCTGGATCCGCGTAGGCTCCAAGGTCCACACCGCGATGTACGTCTCCGTGACCCGCACGGACCACAACGCGGGCACTTCGCAGTGGCACGCTCAAGGCAAATCGGGCGTTACTTGGCATCACCTCACTGGGAACTTCTCCGACAGCCACTACGCGCGCGGCGGGTGGGAGCTCGTCGTGATCAAGGACGTGAATAATACGCGCCGCAAGGGATGGTACCTCCAGCCGCATGGAAAGTCGTACTATATCACGTTCAACGGGTGGGACGACGTCAAGCTTGAGGCAGCCAGGAAGGCTTGAGGCTTAGGGAAGCTGTTCTCCGTGTATGATACAATTTGTGCCAAGCTTTGCCGCGTCGCTACTGTATATTCACGGCATCGTATCGGAGACGATAGTTTGCGCAGAGACGCAATGTCATGCTCGAGTGAAAGTTCAAAGGTCATGAAGTAGACATGGAAGATGAGAGCAGGACGCGGCCGGCTGCAATATCTGATTGAGCCCCTATTCGCCACGCGCGAGAGTGCCCACGACGCGCCAGCAGCAAAAGTTTGGACGCGACGCGTTCTGGGAGCTCAGCCGCAGACGACCATGGCCCACTCTCTCGTCTCGCTCACCCGCGCAGCAAGGTCAGCGCGGTCAGCCCTGGCCAGCGCCTCGCTGGCACACCGCTCCTTATGGCTGGCCCATCGTTCTCTCAACAGTACGTGCTGGCAT